ACACACACACACATACACATTTTCTAGCCCAAAGAGTGTGGCTTAAGTTTGTCTGTGACACCTAACTCTTTCAATTTACGATGGAGTTTTTCTTTTCAAAATCTGGCGTCTCATCTCCAGAGAACAGCAGCCATTGTGTGAGAAATAAATTTGGTGCGTTTTCACACTTGGGTTGAAGCTTTTCACGGCCCGGAGAGTCTGGTATGTTGAAAAAAGTGTTGTTATGGAGCCCAGAAAACTGGTCTCAGGTTTGCCACAAAACAGTGTTTGCTTCGAGCATGCTTGTCCATGGACAATGTTACAGGTCTACGTGACAGATTAATCTACTCCCTCATTGGGTGCAATAGGGATCTTTTGGAGAAAAGGAAATATTACACAAATGGTCAAAAAGCACATGAATTATTACTATGTGCCTTGTTTGGAGGGTCTGCTGGATTGTGCCACGTCACACACCCACTGACTGGTTTTCATAGTTTTTTTTTTTTTCATTTGAAGGGGGGGGGGGGGGGGAAAACTATTCTTGATTATTACAAAACTGCTAAAGGCTTAACTGGGGTGACAAATAGTGTTGCTGAGGACACTTCTATCCATGGTTTGGCGTGACTTGTGTTTAAAAACAATTCACTCACTCTGCTAGACGACTGAAGAAACAAACTTGGGCCCAGACTCAAGTATCTAGACCTGGCAGACCAGAAGCAACCACCAAGTTGACCCAGCATATATAAATTATTAAGTAGCTATAACGCAGAATGAGCCATTCTCGCTTCCTTCTCATCTCTGTTGAGAGATGCACATCCACAGTACCAATCAGGCAGGATATGTAATGAAGTAGCGACACTGCGCATCTTTCATAAATCAACATTTTCTCATGCGATTTTCAACCACGCTTCGTAGCTTTTCAAAACTTCTAGCTACTGACAGTCACAAGTAGGGAAGGGCTTGATTGAAAATAGGAAAGGTAAAAGTTTAACCCTGCCTGGACAGGGAAAGTCCTTTTTCCACCATCTCCAAACACCAAACCATTGTGTTGAATTTATAATAAGTGTTAACGGTAGTTAAAGAACATAATATTCAGAGGCACCACATTGAGAACAATTTTTGGAAACTTTCCTGAGGGCTCGCAGGAGAGGGAATGCTAAAGTGCAGAGTATGATTGCATCTTATGGCCTGAGCCGAATTACCAAAAGTAAAAAAAAAAAGAAAAGGTTTTAAATAGGCTGCTAAAAATGTTTGGCCCATCTACATTTACTGGTTTTAAAATCTGGCCCAACTGAATTTGTAATTAAATAACCAAGTGTAAAAATGCCTTTAAACACTAAGGCTGTGGTTGTGATGACATGGATTCAGCCCAATGAACTGCAGATTTTTTTGGTGGTTCATTACAGTGTCACAGAGAGAATAATTTAACGTACAACAGCCAAACTCCCTGGTGAGGCCCTGGCATTGTGTGGCTGACAGGCAAGGCAGGAAGAGGAGCATGAAGAGGGAGAGGAGGAGGGGGGAGGTGGGACTAGCGAGCAGCTTTGGTGCAGGCATGGCAGCATACTTTCTGAGGAAAGAACTGGCCTACATGCAGACCAGTACAGGGGGAGGTGGGGCCGAGCAGAGCGTAAACTGATTCACACATTCACTTATTTATTTGCACTAACAGTGTGAGAATCTTTTTTTTTTCAATTTGCTTCAGATTGTGTTTGTAAATGATCAAGTACTGGTATATACAACCTGCTGACATGATAACTCTAATATCCGTACCTTTATACTACGTTTTTAACTTGTTGATTAAATGTGATCTTTGAGAGGATTGGCACTATCCCAGCACAGATACTGTGAGTAAAAAAAATATCTGAAAGATGGCAACAGCATCAATGAGTTAACTACATGCTGAACTGATCCCAGTATACCTGATTTGATGCACAAAACTGTTGCCAGCAGCCTGTATAACAGGTATGCATATAAACTTTATCACCAATCCACCTGGTGGGAAAATGAGTGAAATGCTGGAGACTTCTAAAGGGATGAATTCATTTCTGTGACCAGGAAGCTTTTTCTTGCATGGAGTACAGATTGAGCTTGAGATTGTTCCTACATGTGCAAAACTTTATTTTGAAACTTTTTCTAGGGAATTGAAGATACATCTCAGTATGTGTTCTGTTATGTAAAAATGGATTACATTTATAATGAACCTCTTTATGTCATCAAGTACAAAGAGTTTAAAAGGTCATCATCATCCAGGAAGCGCATGCACTGGGGTCAAGGGTTAAGACTGGTCATGGGGGAGCGTGTGACTGCGGGTAGGGAATGGTTCGGGGGTTATGCATGACCAATGAGGATGCAGCATAAAGCTTTGAGAGATAAATTACAAACCAACCAGATTCTACATGTGCGAAGATGTAGAAAGATGAATGGGGAGGGAGTTTTTTTGTTTTTTTTGGTAAGTTGCAGTACATTGTGAGTGGGTGAGAGACATTTTTTTGGGGGGTGGGGGGGGTTGGTCGTGTGTTTTATTGGCCAGGGGCATGGGGCGAAACGCACACCATCACCATCATTATCATCATCATCATCATCACAGCACCACCACCACATGTCATGGCGCAGCACGGATGGAGAACACGATGAAGGATTTCATAGTGCATTTTGATTGGATGGATTTTATCAGAGGAGGAGGGAGTGGGAGGGGCGTAGGGCGCCAACAAAGTAGAGAGGTTTAAAGAAAGCATGTAAAGAGATAGAAGAGGAAGACGGAATCATTATGGGTGTCATTAAAAAGGCAGTGAAACACAACTTCAGGTCAACAACAACAGTTAGTGAGTGATTTCAGATACAGTGTGTTCAGCCCCTCTTTGATGTCAGCTGGATTAGAAAAAAATATTTAGTGCTCTCTTATTTGGTCATCTTTAGCATTGGATAGTAAGAAACTTGTTTCAAACTGGTCCACGAAGAGGTTCTGGTTGCCCTACATAATGCGAAGTAATCTAATGTTGCTACGTTAAGGTGGCTATAAGGAACTTTCATTTTGTTTTGTGTCTACTGACATATAAAGGCATCAGTGTTAAACTGAGACTGTTTCATAACCAGTTAAAAACTTGTTGTAGTCTGTTGTCTGTATTTAAGCATTTGCAATTACAGAGGCCAAACCTTGGCTTTACTCTTGTGTGCAGAATCTTCAGAGCTAATACAAAACACAGCCACCTTAGTTAACCTGAACAAACAGCTGGTTCTTGGCTTTGTCTACAAGGTAACTATGCAACCAAGCAACCATCAACATGTGATTACTAGCCAACACTAGATTTTACTTGCTGAGTTAGCTTGTGCAAAGATCAGCTGTGCTCAGCCTGCAGTATAGCTGGCACAAGCTGACAGAGAATCAATCAGGTGCCTGACTTGATCAGTTCACTGTTGACAGCCAAGATGTAAATTAAGGGTGTCTTCAATCATCTGAACAGATAGTTGATTTGCAATAATTAGAACACTTACTGCTAATGTAGTCAGTGTGAAAGAGACTTCAGTACAAGTCAGAGAGGTTTTAGTTTATAACTGAAACTCAAATGCAAATTTAAATCGCTGTTTGATGTAAAGTAAAAAATATACAGTTGCTGGACAACAGGGAGGGGCTGAAATTGCCAGTGAATTCCATAAATATTGAGTCTTATATTTATAATAATATTAAGCTCATATGTATAGAATAAAACACAGACATGCTTATAGACATACAAACAAAATCACAGTTAACAGTGATATAAACATGAAAATACGTCACAGTTCATAATTAAAGGCACAATCTGGTACATTTCACCCTCAAAATCAAACTAACTTCTTCACTTGCACTAACTACACGGGCTGTAATTTGAATGCAGATAATGTGGACTTGACCTTTGGGGTTGAAGGAATGCTGCACACCAATCCAGGGCTGAGCAATCAAGTTGTGTGACTGGTTTCGCTCCACAAAGAGAACTTTGATTTTATGACAATATTTTCACCAAGTACCAGATAAATAGTATCAAAGAGTTGTATTCTGAATGGATTTTAGAATTAAACATTTCATATAATAATGCACACGCAGCATATACTGTAGACACACACCAAGGTATTTGTTAGTCTCTTTAGCATGAGCCTGTTCCATTTACAGTCTGACAGACAGGTGCATACATTTTAGTAGATCATACCCCATGAAAAGACGGTGTTCAAAGGTGACAAAATCCGCTCTGAAGCTCACTAATTATCACCTTATATCTTCTATGTTTGATCCAAAGTCTAAAAACGTCACATTGTGATTTGTATATTTCTTGGCCAGGACATTAGGTGGATTTTGTTATCTTTGGACAGAGTCAAGCTAACTGTTTCTTCTCTTTCTGTCCCCCCACTGTGTGTGTCTACATGGTGTTATAGATTCTTGTTCTTGGGTCTCAACTAACTGACTGAAGAAAAAAAACAGTCAAAAACTATTATTAATCTGCTTTGGCACCTTAACTGGATGGTTTTAGGGGGTATAAAAACATATTTATGGAATCTGTGATTGTGTCTTTCTTATGTGCAGTTATTATCTTGCTTGAACCTTAGCATTGACAATGTTTTGCTTGTGAAATAATGTTAATGTTTGTCCCTAGGCTTCTACAAGTAAGTCATATAAGGAATAAACAAAGAGAAGAAAAATAAAACCAAGATCTATCTCGTTTAGATTTTTCTTTAAATTTCACTGAACCAGTTCCATGTGACAGATCATAAATAGTGCTCAGCTACAACCAAGCAAGCAAGAGTCATTTCGTCCAAAAACCATCCACAGCACTTACCCCTAGCTCTGTCACTAATATGTCAGTGATGCTTCCAAGGACGGAGACAAAATCAAAAATGTTCCAGGCATCTCTGAAGTAATTCTGTTGGGAAAGAGAGAAAAGTGAGAGATGACCAATGAGAAGACAGAGAGATGCTAATGATAGCCAATCGCATGCTCCCACAACTGCAGCCAGGGGGCAGTAAAGGGACGCGCCCCCCTGGCCAATGGTGGTGTTGTTACCGTGGAAACAGGCTGAAAAGAGGCTGATAGCGTGACTGCTGTGCAACACGGTGTGCTCTGGGTTTTTCAGGAACAGGAAGAATATGCTCTAGATCTGTCTACCAAAATAACCCGCTTTATAAATGAATAATAGGATGAAACACTGAAGCATATAGACTGGGTCAACCTAGATAAGGAATATGCGTGTAGGTACAGCATGTTCTTATGCTTGTGGCTTTCAGCCTTACCAGAGGGCCGAAAGCGATGATCTTGAGGACTGACTCCATGAAGAAGAAGGTGGTAAACACGATGTTGAGGTTCTTCAGGACTTCATCGTATGTTGGCGATGCACCATCAAACTACAAACACAAAAAAAAGATGGACAAGAAATTAGAACAGTAAACGCTAAAGCAAAAAGTGTTCAAAGAGTTCCTAACCTTGCAAAGCAGCTGGACTTTGCGAGGTTCACGCAACAATCCATCCTGCCAGGCTTCAAGCTATGTGCTTGTGTCCGCACCACAATGGTTCTGTGTAACAAACCATCTGACGCAGAAAGTTACAGAGTTCTAGTTGAGCAGCAGACCTCGTTCTCAGTACAGATAGGAAGCTTGGTTTATGAGCAGTGTGTAACTCATCATAGAACTAAACCAGTTGGGTTTGTATCTCTGTTAGTACTGAGTTTGTTTTGTGATCACCTTATCCAGTCGTATCCTTTCAGATCTGAACAGAGAATGCATCCTTGCTAATGTCATGGAAAGCTCATGGTCAACAGAGTCCAAAAGAGGCGTTGGTTTTGACAATGAACATTTGGTAAATCATCACCAGGAAGCAGCTAAATACAGGGTTTCTACTCTACCAGATCAGGCATTTGATTGGGTAAAGATATTTTATATTTATATTTTATTCTTGGCCTCTTGAAGTTGATATGGCTAAAGTGTTAGCAAACACTATGTATCTATTTACCCAGCTACTTCTCACATCATAGTTTTGAGTCGTGGTTCTGATGACCAGATGAATGTAAGTCCTCCTTTTATCTCTTTTGGTAACCAAGTCCTGAGGGAAATATTTGGCTCTTGCTAAATGGTCCACTATGTTCACCAGGTAGTCACTAACTGTCGGCCATTTGGTGCTGTACAGGGAGCAAACAGTGGGTTTATAAGAGCATGTTTTTACTGAAAACCGGGTTGGTGAGCAAAACAATGAGCTGAAGGTTATTTGGTTTTTGATACGTTGTTAATATAAAAATGTTGATTAATGCAGCTTTATTAAGGTGTTCAGTTCTTGGAGACCAAACTGTAATGGCACTATATAAAACTGAATATCTTTGTTTTGCAGAAGGATTTGTGTAAATGCACTTCATTAAGGGTCAAAAGAATTTCTTTACAGTGGTGGTGTTAAATGTTTTTCCTGTGATCACACCTACTGTGGAATATGTTTGTGTTGCTACAAAATACGTATGTGCTGCAGAGTTGTACACAGTAAAAAATACTGATAAATAATCAAATACCATTGTTAATATCAGCATTTAATCAAGAAAGCATCACAGAAGACATTGTTAGACAGTCCATACTGAGTAACAGACTCGTACCTTCATCATAAGGACGATGGTGTTGAGCGCAATCAGAGCCATGATGCTGTACTCGAAGGGCGGAGACACCACAAACTGCCACATGCGATACTGGAAGCTCAGTTTATTCTTCGGCATGTGGCGAGTCAGAGGCCTGGCGTTGATGGCAAAATCTATACAAGCTCTCTGTGGGAGGAAAAGAAAGAATAGGAGAGATAGTTAGAGTTACATTCGTCTGTTCTCTTTAAGAAATTTTCAAAAGATATCCTAAAAACGAGACATCGGAAAATTCTGACAATTCTCCTCACCTCATTCTTTTCTAAACTATAGTCCTCCATCATCTTATCCCCCTGTTCCTGGAAGGTGATGATGATAAGAGCCACAAAGATGTTTACGAAGAAGAAGGGGAAGACAACGAAGTACACCACGTAAAAGATGGACATTTCCATCCTGTAACCTGGGCTAGGGCCCTGATTCTCATAGGTGGAGTCCACTGAGTGCTTTAACACCCTGCGAGAGGAAGAGAGAATTGAAATAGAAAATAAAAGTAAGTTCCCACAACAACTTAAATGTATGCATTCTACTGTGTGTGTTTTTAGATTCTGTGTGTGTGTGCGTGTGTGTGTGTGTGTGTGTGTATGTGAGTGTATTCCACTCACTGCGGCCACCCCTCTCCAGTTGAGACAGTGAAGAGGGTGAGCAGGGCCCAAGCCACGTTGTCGTAGTGGAAATCGTACTTCTTCCACTCCCGCTTCTGGGCTTTAACCTCATCTCTATCATACACCAAGTACTCGCCCCTGTAAAAACACGAAGGACAGGCTTTATAATGAAAACACAAAGGAAGTATCAGTCAGTAAAAACATCCTGAAATGGATGTGCAGAAAAGCACCAGGATTCCAAGACGCCCATCATTTCAATCATCTATCTAAACCCCACTAGGTGGCAGCATTGGCACAACTAATACAACTGGCCAATGGACTAAGTGACTTATTTTTTTCCCATTAACTAAAGTTCAAATGCATCCATCCAGTTCATTTTCCATACAGCACATCACTATACAGCACAATATCTGTGGCACTAAATGAGCAGCAGTTTCAGTACTTTGAAAGTACACAGATGATACCCAAATATAGTATTAACTGAAAATAATACTGCAAATTACTCTAATCACATACTGAATAACAGAGTTTTGTATTGCACACTGTGTGTTTGTGTTTCCCACCTGCAGTCGCGCTCAAACTCTTTGGATTCGTCCGTGCAGTAGAAAAATCTACCCTTGAAAAGCTGCACGGCCACCACAGCGAAGATGAACATGAAGAGCATGTAGACAATCAAGATGTTCAGCACATTCTTCAGAGAGTTGACCACACAGTCAAACACAGCCTGGAAAATCAAAGATGGAGACATTTACAAACACACTTCAGCTGTATCTGAAGGCTGATTAACCAGTATGGCTACACACACAGGGAAACAGAGACTAACCTTTGACTTCACATATCACAAAATATTAAATGCAAAGGTCAACGGTCAGTGCTGTACTATTCTGAAAACATCCATGTAACCCTACATGATCTTGATAGTGATGGTGATATATTAGTATTCGGCTTATGATTACATGTGTTAAAATGTTTTTTTTCCATCAAGCTGTTCTAACGCGATACTTACAGAATGCGCATAAAAATAAGTTCATAAAAAAAACCAGTTCCAAAAGAAACACCAATTGTGTCAAACTCAACCTCATGTATACAGCCCCTGATCTGAGATGCACCAACAGACCTTCTGAGCCCCTACCTTTAACTTGGGGAGCCGTTTGATGGTCTTCAGAGGACGCAACACCCTTAGCACACGAAGGGACTTGATCGTACTGATATCTTTACCCTTGCTGCTCCCCCTAGAGTTCAGCCAAAGAACAACAACAAGGTCAGCAGATTACAGCAGAGTATAGGAATGAAGGGATGGAAGAATCACAAAGGGCTCTTACTGCACCCTCTGCTGTTATCATTAAGTGCTTTTAAAAAGAGCTGAGGTGGGTTGAGGGGTATGTCCTCGAAGTTGAATTTATCTTAAACATCTTAACCTCTACATAGACAATCTAAGTTAAAGCAACATATGGTATGACACTTGCTCTCTTGAATAAAAAAGTACATTATATCAGTGCAGACAATCAAAGCTTTTAGAGTCTCTTCTTCTACAGACAAAAGAAACCTTTAAATGCACGTCAAACATGAAACCAGTGGGAGGGAAAGCGATCAGTTGCCTGACCGTTTGGTTTCATGGACAAGAAGCATCAACATCATTGTTTATTATAATCTTGACCATTATACGATAGACATTCACTCATTCCATATCGACAGGCATCTCCCGGCAGAGTGCCCAGCCAAACCTCTTTCTTTCTTTTTCAATGACACGCTGTTCGGTTCTTCGAAGAAATGGGAGTTTTACATGTGGACACATGAAGCGTGAACTTTAACTATTACATGGCTAGGATTATGTTGATATAATCCTGAATTTGGAAACACTAAATGAACTGATTCCGATTGGTTTCACATAGCTTCCTTTCATTAAAATCCCGATTTCAGAAAACATTTTTGGATCTTTCTTCGTTCAGGACTGTAGCCTGAATCGAAGGTGACAAGTGCAGGAAATGGAGGCTATGTGAGACTCTTGGGGACATGTGATGTCGCTTGCAGAGCACGACATCACATGTCATAACACAAACAAACACGCTGCATCAATAGCGTCAAATGAGCCATGAGAGCGGCTGGAGGAAACCATTTAGGGCCGAAAGACAAACTCCTTCGGTCGTGTGTTTTAATGCGCCTGTTTGCTCCCCGAATCCCATAACTGAACATTCTGCTCGTGATTTGTATGCCCATAAACCAATATCAGTGAGGAAAAATTGGGGTGTCAAGGGAGTAAATAGCCGAGTTGATCTTTACTGTAAGTGGATGGGCCATTTTCAAAAACACAAGGCAGGAGGCGCCTGGACGCCTGCCAAGCCTGAGCAGAAGAGAGGTCGTCCATCAAGACTCGCTCTTTAACTATGAACTCAGTTCCCGTGGCAGAAAACGCAAGACAATTCAATTCAAGGCTGATTGATTGAGTCTGAGCCTTGAAGTTTTACGTGTATGCGTATAGGGGTTTGTGTGTGTCTGTGTGCGAGTGTGCGAGAGTGAGACTCAATCGATAATCAATAGGCCTTCCTCCTTTGAAGTTGAGTAGGACTGAGGTCTCTCTATCAGAGCAGCTTGAGAGTATTAGAGTAAAGCCCAGTAAGGCCATAGGTGTTAGGAATTAAAAACATCCCTACGCACACACAAGAACTCACACATACACGCACACACACACACTAGCATAATGATAAGGGCAACGGCTCTTTGAGTCTCACGATTGATGAGTGAGTATGTATAATACATTGTTTTAGCACTCTGTCACCCTTATTAAAAGATGTTTGACTAAAATGGGGGCAAATTAGGATGATACTCCACCAAAATCTATGTTTTGAGTATCAAACACTCAACACCTATAGGACTAAAAGGTGGCTGTAAAAGGCTTCTGTCCTTTCTTCCTTCATTGAGCACAGCAGTTGTCTACAGTGGGTACCAACAGTGGAGGCTTTTAGGTGCACAGAAATCTCTCAAACTGCTCCTGCTCCAGTCCCTATATTCTCATATAACATGTAAGGTACAGTGAACATGTTGGTAGAGTGTCTTAACTTACTGAACTGACTAAAGTGCACATTTTGGTATAGATTACAAGGTGACAGACAATTCCACTGTTTACGTAGCAATTCTCAAGATAGAGATTCAAATGATTGCTGCTTCATAGTATAGTATTCATGACCTAAACATGCCTGACAAATTTTCATCTACAGTAATGTATGTGTAACATTAGCTTGGGCAAGTTGATATAAAGCTGTAACAATATGAACCGCTCTGCAGTTTATTTGGCATCTGATCTGATTAACGGAACTTTCTGGATTGTATTTCATCTTTTCACTGGTACATGTAGAAACACACCCACACTGATGCAGCCCATTGCAATCTTTTAATGAAGCACTATTTTTGGTCAGAATGAGACTCTAGACAGCCAGTTTTCCTGCAATGGAAAAGCAGGAGGTAGGCAAACTCACTGTAGGCTTTGAAGGTTGACAGCATCATGGATAAAGATTGGGATGCCAGCAGTATAGTAGCCTTAGACTGAGCAGAAGTATGGACGGTGGCAAAATAATTGTTGTAATTTTTGTAATCCTTTGAACTATGAATTGAAGCTGGCGACAGCCATTTACAGGCACCTTTTAAGTCTACAGGGGACTGTTTGATAACCAAAAGACAGACTAAGGGAGGAGTATCACTTTGATGCTAATTCTCAAAAAAATGTATGTACTGTATCAGGGAATTTTTACTATTAAATTAATAATTTGCAAAAGTGGAGTCATGTTACTTCCAAAAAACCTGTGGGCATCAAATCAAAGCCTTTAAATCAAACCCGTCGATGAAACTATTGCAGTGTTTGGATGGTTTTCTGTGGTATGTGAAGAATAAGACAACATACGAAACGGCGAGAATGAGTACGAACGATCAGAAGAACAAAGAAAGAAAGAGAGAGAAGCCAATTTGATCCGGTGGTGGAGATCAGGGGACAGAGCGGAGGAAGAAGGAGGAGGACAGAGAAAGAACTTTACCGGGTGGTGCTCCTGTGGAGTTTCACCGAAGGTGGAGACAGCGAGAGTCAGTGACAGCGACAGAAAGAAAGACAAAGATAGAAGAAGAGGAGGAAGCGAAGGAAGAGAGGAGAGGGGAAAAACACATAGAAAGACAGACACACACAGAGACAAACATTGATAAAGAGAGACACCGACAAAGACGGACACAAGACAAGAGAGAGGGGGTTTGGAAGAAACAGGAAAAAATACATCCATATGAGAGACAGACAAAGAAGGAAGGACAGCAAGATGGCAATATCTGCTTAGAAACCCCCCACCCTCTAACACACATACAGTATACACACTCAGATACACACATCACTCCCTCTCATTCCACCACCCCCTCCCACCCCCTCTTTTGTCTCCATGACGACTGGATGGGATATCTACAAACCTGTCTCCTAAATTAGTTTTTTAGATAAGGTGAGTTCTACATATGGTATAATTATTCATGGTACACAACAAGCTAACAAGAAAAAGGTGCAGCTAAAATGCAGATATTTTGGAAATGATTTGACGTTATGTTTTCCACACTGCTATGTCTGATTCCAAGGGACTAACATGTTGGCCCCAACATTGGTAAATGTTGCAGCAGTGCCAGTGTTACCAGTGATTAATGTGCTCTGGAAACACAAGTTTACAAAGTTTTTAGTTTGACATTACTAGTTTAGTAAACATTATCAAAAAGGTTCATACAAGAATTTTCAGTTTTGATACCATTAGAATAGGCAGACATAGGTAATAAATCACAGTTAAGTAAATCACCTGAAATACAAATCCTTCTCCTCGCACTACAGCATTTAAGAATGTACATTTTATTGCATCTGAACTGCACTTAGCAATCATCTTTAAAAAAAAAAAAACAATAATTCTCAGTTAACTTGAGATCTATAGTAAGAGCACTTCTGTGAATATAGCCCCTGGTTGAGACTCTGTGTGTGCAAACCCTCCTTCCCTCCCGACAGTCTTCTGCTGTGGCCTGCTGTGCTACCAGCTCTATGAAGAATTACCTTCACGGTTGGAAGAGAAAACTCGATTGCTGCATCCATTCACACCGATTCTTATCTTATCACACCATAATGATCAATTAGACCAGGCCTACAGCACAAATTGCCCTCATTAGATCTGCAATCATCTAGTGGGATTTTATCAAAGTTCTTTTGCATGCACATCTGCACAGGGGGAGAAAAAAGGTTGGTTCCAGGTTTTCTTGACATGTTAGGCATTACACTCAGGACATCCATCATGAGTGGGGACTCAAGAAACCAGGATTTGTGTGTATTGTCCCATACACACACACCATCAATAGAAAGAAAATACATTCTCACAGAGTACTGCGACTGCATGCAGTTCTTGGCCAGTGTTTCATTCAGCATTTATTTGGAGGATGAAGGGTGCCAGAAGCGCAATTGTTGTGTTTGAAACCCATAAAAAACCATTGCACTCTGACCATGCTAAAACTTCTCTCCGTACAATGGTTCTCTGATGTACCTGCTTTGAAACAATGTCATGCGTCAAAGTGAAATTTCATAGGTGTGTGTGAAACCTTCGCCCCTTAAGCAAAACTGTACTGTAGCTCAGCCCTGGAGCAGATGGTTGGAGCGAGGAGGCAAAGTGGGAGAGATGGTGGAGAGGGAGAAAGCGTGAAGAGAAGAGGTGAATGGTGGGAGAGCATCCTAAAAGGTAGCGGAAAGGGTGATTAAGAAAGTAAGAAAACGAGGGAGGGTATGGCAGAGGAGAAGGGAAGGGGACCATTGAAGGAGGGGAGGAGGAATCCTGATTTCAGCGAGGAGTCAAGCTGTGGAGGGTGCAGCAGTGGAGTGATTTTCAACCTTGTTGTTGTTGTGTGCAGTTGCTGCTTGGCATTTTAGCCAAAGTGATATTTAACTTTGATTGAACAGTTTCAGTTTTTGCTGCAAATTTATGGAGTTTGTGATCCGTCTACCTTCATAATTTGTCTTTCCAGGATCCTGTGACTGGTGCAGCTTTGATGCTTTTAATTTGTAATTCTACTCTATGTTATCATGTTCAGGTAAAACTTTACCTTTAAACTTTGTTTGCAGTTACTTGTGCTATCGGTAGACCTGACACTGTTTATAATAATAGTGAAGGTTCACCACTCAACACTTCGACACAAGTGTGAAATGTTTAACCAAAGTATTATATCACTTTAAATCCATACCACCTGTCTCTTGAAAGCTTTGCATTAAAAAACTTGTATGTGCACCTTCCCCATCCTGCTTGCTGCTTGATTTACTTCTGCTGCTGTCGGTTTTCTTGAACACTGTTCACTCTGCATACAGACTGCTAGCAACCACATCCCTTAAATGTCCAGTTGCTGATATGAGTTTGCTTATTCTTATGTAGACATATACCAAATGATGATACATGGTTCTGTTTGACAAGGTTTCTTTTCTTATTATCAGGGAAACAAGTCAACCATTCTTAACACTGGCTGAGGTTTCCAGTTGCTGGCAGTGTGAACACATAGTGACAGTGACATTCAAAACAGGACTAACTTACATTTGCTATTAAACAGAGATGTTGTGTGTTCAGACTGAGTGCGAAATGAAGTCATTGGTGTGAGATGTCTGCCTCTATTCATTTTATATGACATGCAAGTGAATTGTTTTTCAACACATTTTGGGAGGTAGCAAAAGAGATGAACCCGCAATGTGAGAAAATAAAGGGATTGAAAGCTAAAAATGGTTTAATTTGTTCCAGTACTCTAATTGCACTAGGGCTGCCTTGGTGACAGTGACAAGCAAGTGACAGGGGTCATGCTGCATAAATTTTAATGCTTCCGTAGGTCTTTGTAGTACTACTGGACATAGTCTGGCTGTCCCTTGCTAGCAACATATGCATTGTGCACCTGACTAATCTCAAAAGTTACTCAAGGTATTTGTGTTACTTTCCTACAGTTTCTTACCTTTTTCTTCTTGTCTCTGTACATTTATGTGAAGTCAAACAACTTTGGGATAAGCATGATTTTTTTGTTGTTGCTAAAGTTAAAGGATAAGCACAGCAATATTCTATATTTTCCTTATTTTAAAAGAAAGAAATCCAATGAAAAGACCAAAACCAACAACTGCACTAGGTGACATGTTACTTCATTACAAAGAACATAGGCACTATAGTTTATTTTGAGTCAAGTCTCACTGTTCTCCTGCTGTAAAAGCTAATTTGCTCACCAGATGTATTTTCATTTTTCTGCAAATTTACTCCTGTTTTTTAAAAACTACAGTGCCCACCTTGTTTTCAGAAAATTACATTTGTGACACATTTTGAAAGATATCTTATCTCAAGTAGAAACAAACAGGCTTGTTCAAGTATCTAAGTCAGGGTATATCAGAAAATATTGAGAGATGGAATAACACATTATTTGTTTTGGTCTTTTCATGGAAAATGTTGGCAGTAAGAAAAAAAATGAGTAACACCAAAAAAATTTCAACTTGGGCCTCTTGACATCAGTTCATGCCAACTCAAGCAAATCTGCATCTTTGTGTCACTGATGTATTTCCATTGATTTATTATGCAATGGCGCCACCTCTAGAATTTGCTTAGCATTCAATCTGAACACACTTTGACAGTAGCTATTAGCTCTAAGATCCAAAGCGCATGGATCACATTCTTTGCCTGTGACTGACTCTGAACATCTTTAACATAGTTCTGAATGATGCCGACTATTGCATCACAGGTTGTGTTCAGGTTCATGCAGTCACAAAGGCAGTCATGCACTGGGCATCCACAGAGCTGAGGAGGATGCACACACAAGCTTCTTTCTTTCTCTCCCACTCACTCTTCTGTTTTTTTACACACAGAAATACACATTCAGTCTCTCCAGTTGCATATATCATACATATTTAATTCATATGTATTTATCTGTATAGTACCTCAGCCTAATAGCAAATCATTCCACCCACCACACTCTGCCCCAGCATGCCTCCCTCCTTCCCTCCCACGTTCAGTCTGACTTCCCCGGGTCGTGCAGAGGAAGGAGAGTTAAATACCTGAGCCTCCGGGTACGTTAACGACGGGTGAGTATGTGTGTTTGTGGCAGAGTTTGTGTGGGTGAAAGAGGAAGAGGGGGGGCGAGGCGATGAGCCCTGCTGGTGTTCCTTCTCGTGGCGAACAGATAACCTGGGCACTTAAAGGGTTAAAGGTGTCTGGGGTGCCCTCACCCCCACGGACTGACCGACAGGGACCTTCAGCCCGGAGGACGGGGGGAGGATGAAGAGGAGGGAGGCAGGATGTTGGCTTTAATGGCTGTTGGAGAGGTGGGGTTGAAAGGTGTGTGCGTGGTGGAGTTTGGAGGGTTAATTACTGACTGTAGGGTTTATGTTCAGACAAGGGTAGAGGCTGGGGTTGGGTGGGGATAGCTGCAAGCTAGGGAGCAATGGGTGACACTTGTTCCTAACAAACAGCACACAAATTCAATGTTAGCATGCTAACAGGCTAAACTACGATTATGGATCAGGAATAGCATATACCTGCTAAATATTAGCATGTTTATGTTAAAGTAGGAAAATTAGCTCAGTTTGCATTCATCATTCTAATAATACTACAAACCATTTTTCTTGGTGATCAGTCAAGAGGGTCTATAATGCACAAATTAGCTTTGGGAAAGAAATAACCTGAAGTCACGTGGAAAGAAGAAAAAGTAGATCTGAAGATCTTTACTCTTTTTTTTTTTTAAAGTATCTTACGGTTTTACGAAGATATAGGTGTTCTGGCAGGAAGAATGGGACTGACTGTGAGTTATAAATATTGCATGAACAACTTGGAGTTGGAGCAAGTTAACAAAATGTAGCCAAAATAGAAACAAGTAAAACTCTCCTTTCTGTTTTATGAAGCATAAAGGTGGTTTGGAGAGGCTGACTGTGAGCACTAAAAGTGAAGTCAATATTCCTTTGTTCTCTCTTTGCTGTATGTTAGAAATAAGAGGGGTGTTAGGGGGTTGAGGTAGGGAAATGGGGTAGAGGGCAAAATGTAATGATAGGAAGAAGGAGGGGCTGTTACGAAAGAAGGATTTGAAATGTATCTGGAAGAAGGTGAAGGCATCAGCAGGAACCAAAGCTGTGAAGGGTCTGGAGGGAGTGTTGGTAAGCAAAGATTTGAGGGATCAAAGTCAGGGCTTTAGATGCAAGAAAAGAGGAAGGGATGACTCACGGCCTGGTTGGTGGAAATATCAGAGCGGCATGGATTGGCAAGTAAGGGACACAAGGGAACAGGAGCAAGGAAGATTGGGAAAAGAAAATGTTGAGAAGGAGCAGGTGGTGCTTTATATTGTATTAGGTCAGTAAAGGGGAATGACGTTGGGTTAGGGGTTAGGTTTTGAGGTGATTGTTTCAGGCAAGGTTAGGGGTGTGTGGGGGTTGAAAGGTGGGTGAAGACAGTGTAACTACACTCTAAAAAAATTATTTCACTTTCAGCACTTTTAGGGTTCCTCTCTCGGAAGAACTATCCAAAAAGTTATGATGTTTGTGAAACTACTGTGCTAATCGTTTCGAAGGAGTACCACAGGGTACCAACTGAGGTTCTCCAAAGATTGCAGCATTGAGAAAAAGCTAAATGTTATGATGAGAGCTTTTCCTTTTTAGAGTGTAGGTCAGGGATTGGTGATGATCATCCAGAACAAGGAAAGAATTTAGTTAAGGATTACGGGTGGTTATCAAGATGAAGGTGGCGATGAAACGTAGAGAAAGACCTGCTGATACGATACCACGTGTGATGATGACCAATGATGAAATAGAGATGTAAATGGAGAAAGGGTAGACTGCAGGAGGGAGGGGGATAAAGAGACAATGACAAGACTACAGAAAAAAGTTTGAGGAAGAAAAAAAGGACCAAGAGAGATACAAGACAACAAACAAAGAAAAGGCTAGAACAGAGACAGAGAGCAGAAAAGGGTTAAGAAGAACAAGGGAAAATGTGAGAAAGAATTGTATGAGAAAAGGAGTTTAAACACATAAAGGCGATAGAGAAAAAGACAGATTAAAGGAGAAACAGGGACAGAGTGAGAGAAAGACAGAAAGAGTACATAATACAAGGACAAGGACTGGAGGTGATGAATTCTGAAGTACAGCAGGCTGAGAAAATAGGAGAGAAAGATCAGCATTGCCTGGTGTATCGGACGTACAAGGCTGGGCGACAAGGGTCTTTCTGCGGATGGAGGAATGTGTGTGTGTGTGGGTGGGGGTGGAGATGATGAAGAGGAGGGTGGAGGGGACACTTACGTGAAGGCGAAGGCCACCAGAGCACCACTAACCACTATAAAGTCCAGAATGTTCCACAAGTCGCGGAAGTAGGAGCCCTGGTGGAGAAACAAGCCCAGCACCACCATCTGGAAGACACGGAGCACGCTCAGTACATACATTAACATACATATACACACACACACACACACACACAGTATCTTAAACAACAGACTTACTCACAATCAGCGCATTTGCAAGGGCAAACAGCGGAAATACACAAAATGCACTCATAAGAACACAACCACAAACATCAATATTAACACACACACACAACAGTTTGCACAAAAAGAGATAGACATAAACAAAAAAACTGAATTATACAATAACGCAAAAACAAAGGTGTTAACAAATTACACACACGCTTTCTCTCTCTCACACACATACACACACACACACACAGTGATACTTTGTTACCTTGATCAACATTTCAAACGTGAAGACGCCTGTGAAAACGTAGTCAAAATAACGCAGCACCTGCAGAGCAACACAACACCATGAGATATAATTATCATATTAGAAAGAAGGAGAGAGAAGCAAAAAGATGAATCAGTGGGGGAAAAATCTGAAAAACAGGGCAGGAGAGATTAACAAAGGCACAAAAATCAGACACCAACCAGAGCCTAATCCTAATTCTAATCTTAATCCTGTTTTCTATTTTCAAACTGCCACATCTAATAATAATTTACTCACCCTTGTCTTTTAAAAAAACATTCATTTTCTGCTTTGTTTATTTAATTCTGGGTAAAATTATGTGTTCTACCCTTTAGCTATATTTATTGTAATAATACACAACTTTTTCAAGTGACTGTACATGTTTCTTGTGATCCCTGACTGATATTAACACATGACTGTTTCTGGTTTGTTTGAAATAATCAGATGAACTAGCCAGTTCAGTTGAGCCAGCATGTCCAGCACGCTTTACAGCATAAAAGGTTTCATGCTAAAAATGACAGTAAGTGGTGACCTGAGAACTGTTCACTTAGAAAACTTGCTTTCCTGTGCAATGCTGATTGCATTTACATCTTATCCAAAAACATTTTTCTTGCTAAGTTTGCTCAGAATTTGACCCAGACAGCTGGTTTTCATACATCATCCAGCATGAAGCCGAAGACCTGTCAAATGATGCCATCTGTGATGCTATAAAAAAAAACTGTGAAAATTAGACTGCTAAAAGATATGTTCTCTTAAAAATATATGTTAAAATATGTCTGAAGCGGTGCTGTTATACTTTTATAATCCTAACCCTAACTTATACAACATATAATGGCAGTTTCAGCACTTATTTTTATTAATTATTATATCCTGAAAATGTTTAGATATGTCGGTCAACAACTACACTAATAGTCCTGATGCTAGATTAAAAAAAAAAGTCATTATCACCATTATTAACTCTTATTAAGGCCTAATACTAAACCAACCTCCGTACTAGTGAAACTCGGCTAAAGTTTCCTCACTTTGGAAGATTCTGCCCATCTTTATATCCTTGAAAATATTTTATTTTCAAAATTATGGAGATGCGCACACATTTACAGGTGGACAGAAAGACACAGACAGAGCGATGTCTCACATTATTTTGTGGTGAGTCAGGCCAGACAGGGTCCTCTGCAGCGAGGGCGATGCTGCTCATAGCGATGACAGACAGGATGCTGAACTCAAAATACTTCAGAGTCAGGATGTAGTGACAGCACTTCCGAAACCTGGTGCAAACACACAGACGCATACACATGTTGACACAAAAAAAGCACACAAAACAAACTGTTTAAACATTTCTGGGCCCAGAGAGAAAAATGTTCATATTGAATAACGTTTCTATGTCAAGGACATAGTAGAATGTTTCACAGTGTTTGACCAAGGTTTTCACACACACAACTACACACACACACACACACACACACACACATAAATACTCACGGGTTGGTGGTGGACAGTATAAAGCAGGAACTGTATGGAGGCATGGGTTTGGGGCCATCTTCATCTCCTTCCTCATCCTCCTCCTCCTTTTTCTCCTCACTCTTCTTCTGGTCGGTGTTGGCATTCTTGTTCACTGAGCGAAACAAAGAGAGAAAATAGAGGAAGAAGAATGGACAGACAGACAGAAAGAGGTCAGCTTCAACGGTGGAAGACAGTAAACCCATGAAACACATCTGAAAGCACTGTTTCAAGAACAGAACTGAATGAGTTACAACAGTGTTAGCCAGTAAATGTTTTTAAAAAAGGGTAATGCCACTGGTTTTACATGTTAAAGTTAAATTGCTTTTCATGGGGTGAACTACTTAGGGTGTGAAAAGAGTTGTATAATGTCTGCTGGGCCCCTAGATTAGCTTTGTCAAGTGATGAAATTACTCAAGTGACACTAACCTTGTATCAGATTGTTCCTGAGGACTACAAATGTTTAATGGAAAGCCTGTGTTACTGGAGGCATTGAGTTATTAGTTAGGTATGAGTCTAACAAAATATGTGGATCCAGTACTTTTGTAGCTTAAATGATACTTAGGACATCTTTGTCTCTGCAGCATCAGGGGATTTGTGACACACCTTCATAGGCCATATAACTACTTATACCCTCAGGTACACGACTGATCCCCCCAGATGCTCACCTTGCAGGATGGCATTGGTGGAGGGATAGGGGTAGACAGGAGGCATGTCTATCTTTGTGTACTCAGGTTTGGCCATGCTGGTCAGGATTAGACTGTCCATGCTGTGGAGCAGGGTGTGGGTGTCGGCGTCGCGGCAGTTCAGCAAGTTGTTGACGTGGTCAGGGTGGTTGGGGTGATCCGGTGGGAGGGCGTATGGGTGCTCATGGGCACTGGCCAGCTTGCTGTTATTACGGAAGTTGTCCAGGTCCTCGTTGTACTGCTGAATGGGTCGTGTGGTGGAGAGGCTGGGACAGGTGCTGTGGTGCTCCCTGACGAAGGAGGGGGGCAGGAAGGAGAAGGGATGGAGAGAAAAAAGGAATAAGGGTGAGGATGGAGAGGATTAGGTGATGGAAGGACTATCTTTTCAAAAACACCCTATGTAGAACCATATGTCACAAGATGTGCACCATCTCCCATACTGTTAGAACCAACTATTAATTAGTTCACACAGATAGACATAGAGGATCTGACATTTTTGGATCACCTGTCACAAACTGGAAATTAAAATATGCTATACACCCTTTACCCAATAACCCAACAATTAACAACAGAAATAGTATTTCATTTGGAGTCATATTGGGATAAGACAACACGATATCAGCCTCTTAATGGCCTTATTTGACTCGTGTGAGACATTGGGAAGGAAAATTAGCTTTAGGCACTACAATATATGTAGTATACAAAATTTAATGTGTCATAAACTGACTTTGTGTATTTTTTTGATGATTCTCAACTAGTTTGGCATTTTTTTAAATGTGCTCTGCAACACCCTTCCTCATTTCCACGTTATCAGGTTGAGGAAGACTGCAAGCAATGAGTACATAAATCCATGTTGGGAAGTGTGATTATAAGTAGATAAAACAACTTGACTACACAA